ATTAGCCTAGGCACATGAACTACAACTGGATGTAGAGCAGAAGCAGGATGAGGGGGAGCAACAACTAATTCAGCCCTTTGATAAAAGTGTTTAGGCCACGTGGACCTCTCATACAAAGATCCATTAGGTGTACCATTCATTGCTTCTTCCACACTTCTATTTGGAGGCCTTTTGAAATCAACTATGCAGTGTTCAGGAATGCAGTCGCATGCAAGAATTCAAACTAGATATGCCTCAACTCAAAAAAACTTCTTCCTGTTTCTTTCAACTTCTGTACAGATGACTAGAAGATAGCTAATGTGGCACCGATTTTTAAAACAGGCTCCTGAGTAGGGATGTTAAATTTTGATTAATCAATCAAATAGTCACGGGGATTTCCATCGACTATTTGACTAGTTGATAAGAACTACCACGTTCCTCCTTTGAAACGTAAGGGTTAGAGTTAGATTGAAACTCCACGTGGAGCCCGGGTCACGGGGGACTCCCCCACTGGCCTTGGGCTCTGTGTGCATTTCAGAGAGGAAATGCCACAAGAGCCCCAGTAGGGGCTCTTGTACATTTCAAAGTTGGAATGCCATCACTGTTTCCCTCCCCCCTTCTAAGCCAGTGTCTTCCAGCAGCCCCTTTTCTCCCCTCCGCCCCTCCTCCCCCTGCCGCCTCTTTGTGATAGAGGCAGCAGAGTAGGGGGAAGCAACTAATCAACTAGTATGTTGACTAACCAATAAGCTTTTGCTTATCGGATAGTTGACTAGTCACTTACATCCCTAGTCCTGAGGCAATCCTGACAATTTTAGGCTGGGAAATCTAATTTCAATACAAGGAAAATTGATTGAAATTGTAGTAAAAAAACCCCAGAATTATTAGATATATAGATGAACATAATTTGTTAGGAAAAAAAGACAACATGGCTTTTGTAAAGGGAAACCATGCCTCACCAATCTACAAGAATTCTTTGAAGGAATCAATAAGCAGGGCTCGACAAATCGCTGTTTCTAATCGCCTGTGGCGAGTAGATTCCAGCTGGTCACTCCATTCACTGGCGCTGCAAGCATGCACAGTGCCAGTCTGGCGCATGCACAGTGTGGGGCTGGTGAGTAGATCTCGCCGCGTTTTGTCGAGCCCTGTTAATAAACATGTGGATAAGGAATTTACTTGGATTTTCAGAAAACCTTTGTCAAAGTCCCTAAAACACTCTTAAGCAAACTAAACCATCATGAGATAATAGGGAAAGTCCTCTCGTGTCAGGAATTGGTTAAAAGAACAGAAAATAAAAAGACAGGAATAAATGGTCAACATTCAGAATGGAGAGAGGTACATAGTGGGGTTCCCCAAGGGATCTGTCCTGGGACCAGTGCTTTTCAACATACTCATAAGTGATTGAGAAAAATCGGTAAACAGTGAAGTGGCAAAATTTGTGCAGAATACAAAATTACTCAAGATAATAAGTCCATAGCGGACTGCAAAGAGTTACAAAAGCATTTCACAAAACTGGATCACTAGATAAGAAAATATCAGATAAAATTCAAATGTTGATAAATGAAAAGTAATGCAAACAATCAACGTATAAAATCATAGGTCTAAAAATTAGCTGTCACTATTCAAAGATCTTGAAGATATTGTGGACTAGGGATGTAAGCTACTAATCAACTATCTGATAAGTAAAAGCTTATTGGATAGTCGACTCACTAGTCAACTAGTCGCTTCCCCACCCCTTGCTGCCTCGATAACAAAAAGGCAGCAGAGGAGTCCTCCCCTGACCCCAGGCTCCACGCGGCATGCCAGCTTTGAAATGTACAAGACACTCCAGCAGGGGCTCTTGTGCATTTCAAAGAGGAAGCGCAGCATAGAGCCTGGGGCACGCACAGAACTGAGTCCCCTGCTGGCCCCAGGCTCCATGTAGTGCTTCCGCTTTGAAATGCACATGATTTCCTGCTAGGGACTTTTATACCTTTCAAAGGCAGAACGCAGAAGTTCTTATCGACTAAGTGAATGGTTGATGGAAATCCCATCGACTATTCGATTAGTTAATTGAAATTTAAAATCCCTATTGTGGACAGCTCTGAAAACATCCGCTCAATGTTCAGTGGCTGTCAAAAAAGCTAACAATATTAGGAAAGACAGAAAACATCAAAATGCCACACTATAAATTCATGGTATGTCCATACTTTGAATGTGCATCAGTTATAGATATTAAAAGCGGTACTGGTCACCCCATCTCAGAAAAGATGCATTAAAATTGAATATATGGAGAAGAGCAATAAAAATGATTAAGAGTTTGGAACAGCTTCTATAGGAGAAAAGATAAAAGACTGGAACTTTTCAGCTTGGAAAATAGATGATTAGAGGGGATATGACAGAGGTCTATAAAACTATGACTGAAGAAAGTGAGTGAGTATAACAGTACTTCTCTATTCACATAACACAAGAACTGGGCTGGTATAAAATAGACAAAAGGAAGTATTAATTCACACTACAATGGAGTTCAGAAAATGAACAGGTAAGTTCATGGAAGATAGACTCCTTGGTGGCTATTAGCCAAGGTGATTAGGGATGCAACTCCATTCTCTGGGTATCCCTAATTAACTGCCAGAAGTTGGAATGGATCACTCAATCATTGTCTGTTCTCTTCATTACCTCTGAAACACCTGATACTGACCATTGTTGAAAGAGAGGACATTAGGCTAGATGGACCATTGGTCTGACCCAGTATAGCTGTTATTTATGTTCCTCTGTTTGGCATTTTTCACTTTTATGCTGGGCTGTTATGTCCTAGTGGTAACTAAATTAGAAAGAGGATGCAAAATAGTTTAGAGTTTAAGGACATACTAGACATACAGAATGGGAAATTTTTTTCCCCAATTAGTACAGTCACTTACTTTGTTTTCTCCACTACACCCACTGTTGTCATCATTATCAACATCTTCATCATCTTCTCCTTCCTCTTCCTCCTCCTCTTCCTCCTCCTCCTCATCCTCCTCTTCGGGGAGTGGGACTCTACCATCATAGCCATAAAGGCTAAGTAGTTCATGAATTGGCATATCACCTTCCTGAATGACATCCACCAAACAAAGTTTTGACTTCCACAAAGACATTTCCACATTATTCAGACCTTCGCCACATTTTTAAGATTTGTATTTTGCACAACCCAACACAGGCAAAAATATGAGGAATTCACGTTTTAAGACTCTGAGCTAACATGAAAATTCGGTCATCGACAAAAAAAAAATCAGAAACCTTACAAAGCTGTGGAAAATTTCTTCTTGAATGACACATGGCAGGACTTCCAAATTCTAGAAGTGTGGAAATTTCAACCTAATTTTGCATACATATTCCCAAATTATGCACAACACTGACTAGCAAGTCACTTCACAGATACACCTTAAAGATGTTAAACTACAGTTATCTCGCTAATCATGTAGTCAATACAATTTGCATCAAATACATGATTAGTCAGTAAGGACCGCTGCACAGAGCTGCAGCAGGGCTAGCTCCTGGAGCCAACTCAAGCTGGGACTGAGCAGTCCCAGCTTGTGCTGACCCTGGGAGCCACCCGCATAATGGCTCTGCATTTTAAATGTAGTAAGAGCCGTTGGGCTCTTACTACATTTAAAATGCAGAGGCGCAGCATCCCGGACTAGTGCAAGCTGGGACTGCTTTGTCCCAGACTGGCACGAGTCAAGACAGCCCTCCCCTATATCCCTGGCACTGCAGAGAGTGCTGGGAGAAACCAGCTTAAGCTAGCTCCCCCAGCACTGTCTCCTGTCCCTCCCCCACCTTGCTTCCTCTTACAATCAAGTACTCCACACGACTCTATGCTTATCAGGTAGTCAAGCAGTCGACTACTCTCTAGCATCCCTATTACACCTCAGCTCTTCATGTGCAAGAAATGAATACTGAGCACACTGTTGCACTACTTTAAAAATAATACTACTAAAAATTGACTTCAAAATGTACACAGTTAAAGTAACCTTTGAAAATATTTGTCCATTTTTAGGTCTTCATATTTAAAAGAGGTTCTACTCTGAAGAATGACTACATTTGGCTCCTAGATCTTTCTTTTTGGTGTGTGTTCAGCTTAAAATACAGCATTAACTGCCAGCCATGCAAAGTCAACATGGGATCTTTCATTTTTCTGAATCACAACATGAGTTCTGCTGGCAAATTATACACTCTAACACTTATATAACTTCACTGCCTTAAGTGGTGATGGACTAGTGCCTCTGATTGGCCTTGTTATTGGAACTTCGTAACTCATTCTTTTGACACACAAAGAAGCCAGCTAACAATCCAATCCCTTAGCTCTGCAATTTTGCCAAAAGTAAAAAGTAGAAAAAACACATTTTATCATGAAGTCAGACGACAGGACTCTAGATAAACACAAGTAGTATATCTGTGAAATATAGTGGCAACATTTTTACATATTCATTTATCTGAGAACTAAACTGGAAGAGAAAGTACTTTTGAGCAGGGTCAAGTCCTCCTATTTACTATTCAAAGATGTTCAACAGCCACCAATGCTGCTACTTGGTGAATAAGTGTTAGCTGGTGATCTGTGAGATAAGGTGCGGATCAGTTGGTATCCAATTATCTCTATGTTGTCCTATCTGTAGAAATATAAGTATCATAACTGTCCGATTCTGAACTTACCCTAGGGCAACTATTGTATTCCAGAGAGCTACCCTGCTCAGGAAAGGCGTATGACACCTTGAAGTGACTATAACTGAGATCTATCAAGACTGAAATTTAGAACCATCACTTTGTTTCTTAACTACTGGCCCACACACAATGCTTCCTCTACACCCGGGAGAGGGAGACCAGAAACATGACTAGTAGATTTGGAGCTTCTTCCTGACAGCACATGGCACAGAGTCTAAGAAGGGTATACTAGCCTTAGGGAGCCAATCACCATATACAAAAACTTGAAGGGAGACTGTGCAGCCCAAGATGTTGACAAATAATTGACTTAAAAGTAGGGTTGATCTTAAATTAGGGGATGGTGTGTATCTGAACTTTGTTATTTTCAAAGATCTATAGCTTTTGAATACTTTAAAAGTAAAGCAACTTTACAGTTAAGCAATTCCTTTGCTAAAATTGTGTTCCCTTCTTTCCTACTACATCATCTCTGAAGAGTTAAAACTAGCAAGCCCCAAGTGCCCACAACCTAGGCAGAACTGATGTATCATATGACTTGGGAGATCTGACACTAGTTTCAGGATATACATGAGCTGGATTGAAGTATTCTAAATCTCAAAGAAGAATGAAAGACAAGCAATCTGAGCTTTGGGAACGTTCTCTCTAGAGCAGGGGTCTCAAACTCCTAGCCCACAGGCTATCCCTGGCCAAAGCAGTTGTATAATCTGACCTGGGAGTCCTGGTGGGACACAGGCGCCTGTCTATTCCCATTCTCCAAGCCCTGTCCCTTCTCGCCATCACCCTGCCCTCTCCCTCCCATGGCAAACTGTTCACTGAGGGACGCTACCTAGGGAGTTACCAGGAGAGGGGTGTGTGGATTTGCATGATAGGGCAGCAGTGATTGGGCTCCCACACACTCCCTGCAGTAGCAGGAACTGTAGAGAAGCAGAGCGAGTGTGCTTGCCGAGTGTGGTCTACTTCTCTGTGGCTACTGCAGTCACGGGGACTGCAGAGAGACCCAACTGCTGCTGCCATGCCAGATCCCCCAATAATCCAGATATGATCCCTCAAAAAATGGAATGTCATGAGGGGAGAGGGCAGAGTGATGGCAGAAAGGGACAGGGCTTGGAGGATGGGAACAGGCAGGTGCCTCCATCCCATTGAAACGCCCAAGCCAGATTGCACACATGCTCTGGCCAGGGATGGCCAATGGGCTAGGAGTCTGAAACCCCTGTTCTAGAGTTCCATAGCTAGAACCAGTGACCAGCAGATTTAAAACAAACAAAAGGAAGTTTTTCTTCACTCAGCGCACAGTCAATCTCTGGAACTCCTTGCCAGAGGATGTGGTGAAGGCTAGAACTTTAACAAGGTTCAAAAAAAGAGCTAGATAGATAGATTCATGGAGGTTAGGTCCATCAATGGCTATTAGCCAGGATGGGTAAGAATGGTATCCCTAGCTTCTGTTTCTCTGGAGGTGGATGACGGGAGGGATCACATGAGTATTACCTGTTGTGTTCCTTCCCTCTGGGGCATCTGATATTGGCCACTGTCGGCAAGACAGGATACTGGGCCAAATGGACCATTTGTCTGACCCAGGATGGCTGTTCTTATGACTATATTCTACCCAGACCCAGTTGGCTTGATCCAAAAATTGGATCCATTCACAAGAGGCTGAATGCAGAGGGTAAAATATAAGTAAGGAAAGCAATTTTATGGAAAGCTCTTTCTACACATTTGAGGAATCCTATTTCCCAGAATTCACCCAGGGTCTCCAAATTTGTAATAATCTGATATACTTAACTTCACTTTCATCTTTAATATAAAACTTGCAACTACAAACATAAGTGACAATTTGTTACTGTTACTTGTAGATTAAACATGCTAAATAGCTCTTTAAATTTTAACTAGCAATGATTTATTGTAGTTGAAGAAAATGTGTTTAGATATACATTTGAAGATAATTACATGTGCTGAAGAAAGCCTTTCAACCAATGAAATCAGACTGCATTTAAATTAATTTAGAATTAACTGTGAAGATCCTTAAACCAAAAAGTATTGTTCTTGATTGAATAGCCAGTTGTACTTCAAATCAAGGTTCTTCCAAGTTCATATTACTGAACAGTCCATTTAAAGTGATGACAGCAGGAGCCCAAGATAAAAAAATTAATGAATTTTAGAAGGCAATTATTTCTAGTACACATTTTAAGATATATGCATAGTAGGGATTATTTCCAGTACACATTTTAAGATATATGCATAGCAGGACTGGTCTAGTCCTGTAGAGCCTGCCTGCAAGAGTGCTCCAGCCTGACTAGGCTGGAGCTGCCCTTGTGCTCGTCCCCATTTAATCAGTTAACCGGTTAAACTTAACATTTAATTTTACATCCCTAATGCACAGTTGTCATTAATTGGTACTTTAATCCCAGCTCTTCTGGGAGCACATTATGTGGCTCCAGGTAAATCACTTAATTCCTCTCTGTTTCTCCACCTATAGAATGCAGCAAATACTACTTACTTCATCACAGGAATGGAATGAGGATGAATGTTTGTACAAAGAATGTAAACAATAAAAATTAAAAAGTTGTGGAATGAAAGTTTATTTACTGAAATTTGAAGTTAACATACTAATCAAATACATAGGAAATAATTAATTTAGGTAAAACAAATGCTTGGCTATAGTGCACTTAGTTTAGGATAGGTCTAAAATGTGATATCTACACCAGTGGGCATAAACAAAAGAAACCTATATCTCTACAAGTATTAATCTATTATACACATATCATCATCTTTGTTACAGAACTGCAAACAAAGTACCTCCACAGATCACCATTCTTAGGACTTATTTGTTCACAAATGTAGTTGTGATCAAATCCAACAACATATAGCCATCTTACAGGTTATAAAACAAAAATACCATTTTATGTAAGTGCCATTTACCCTTGTAAGATCCTCTATTTCAGAACTGAAGTTTGTTTCTCCTTCCATCATTTCTTCCTCTTCTAATGTACGTTCATCATCAAAATCATGAACCAGCATGTCAGCTGATGGGTCAAATTCATGGTCATCAGATGTTGCGGAACCTCCTAGTATACAAATTTTGAAAAGGATTTGATCACATCATGGGCTTAAAGAGTTAGCTTGGTATTAATAAAAGTTTCACTAATGCCCATGCTAAAAACTAAAATAAAATCTAGACAAAAAATATTTGAAAAGCCTGAAGTGTTAAAGAATCCAACTGTTCTATTTATTCAAAGAAGAGGTTTATACTCTGTTTTTATAGCTTTTGACTATCTAATCAGAAGTGATGGTCTGACTATTCAGTTTCAAAGTACTACACAGTTACAGTTGCAAGACACCTGCTGCTGCTACATGCAGCCCTCAGTTTAACCCTCTCACATTGATAACTGAGGAGGGTTGTGTCTTCAAAGGCTGAGATATTCAACAGTCTGTACCAGAGTTCTGCATTAAGTAAATTACAACAAATATTGGCTATCTATATGAAGGGAATTTTCTTGGTTTCTTGGAAGATACTACTCTTGAAACTGGAAGAACATGAATAGATTCACTGATATTCATAATTATAGAATATCACAGATTACATGATTCAGTGTTAAAAATACACTAGATATACCAACCATCAGCAGTAATAAGTGACAAAATAAATAAAAGGCAGACTAGTCTAATAGACTGAGCACAATGCTGCAACTCACAAACTACAGGCAGTCCCCGGCTTATGTACAAGATAGGGACTGTAGGTTTGTTCTTAAGTTGAATTTGTATGTAAGTCGAAACTGGTACATATTGTAGGGGAAACTCTAGCCAAACATTTCTCCAGAGTTCAGTTTTATTCTCCCACACCTCACTTCCCTCAGTCCTTTATTCTCAAGCTGAGGTGTCTGCTGAGAAAAGCCGCTCCGCGTCTCTCTGGTCTGCTAGGGGGGGCGCTAGCTTCACATCTCCCTGGTCTGCTGGGGGGAAGTAGCTAGTGTGGGGTTGCCTCACCCCGTTTGTAAATAGGGATCCGATGTAAGTCGGATCCATGTAACCCGGGGATTGCCTGTACTTATTTCTAATCCCAGCACTTTTAACTACAGGCAGTCCCCGGGTTACGTACAAGATAGGGACTGTAGGTTTGTTCTTAAGTTGAATCTGTATGTAAGTCGGAACTGGTACATATTGTAGGGGAAACTCTAGCAAACATTTTTTTTAGTTTTGGATAGCATAGGGAAAGGTTAACTCCCCTCTAATGTTTGTTTTGCTGTCTGTTCCCCTGTTCAGAAGATTTCACATCTATTTCTGTCCCTGTGACAAACTCAGGACTAAAGGAGTAACTCATCAAATACCAAACAGCTCTGCACCATGCTTTGAGCTAATAGCTTTATTTCCACACACCACCCAGGGTTCCAGGAGGAGGGTCCTTTTTTTGCTAACACAATGAGGCCAGCACTTTGTTTGTTTTGGTGGAGTCTTTGTTTGCCCAGGGAGCCCAGCATGTATAGGGGGAGGAGGGGCGGAGAGGCTGCTTTTGTCTGCTGTTC